CAACCAGAAACTTTTAAATAAACGAGTTTCTTTCTACATGACCCAAAAGTTTCTTTTTAAGTGCACCGAGTTCCTGATGAAATAATTCTTTTTAATTGGTTGCACGGCGCGCGGTATGCTGCGTCATATTTAGACGGTGTCCTCCAATTATTTCATGAAAATTTCACAATTCATACAATACTATTTTATAATTAATTCGGTACAATATTTTATAATTCATATAAATATTCGTTTAAGTTGTATTACAAATTTCATAATGTGTAGTATTCGAATGAATATAGGATTGTCGGCGATGAAACAATGATTAAAAAATGTCCCCTAAAGATAATGATAAACTACATTATTTCGTGAAATTTTTATATATTTTTTAATAAAAAATCGTGCATGCGCGCGCGTATGCAATATATAACGCATATTTTGTAACGGCGTAAAATATTTTATCAGATATTTGGAAGCGGCGCGGAAAATCACAGCACTCATTTTCTACATCTGATACACAGTGAGAAAAAAAAAGAGCAAAGAATGAAATTGAACGTCGATCGATAATGATAAATTCAGTTTTGCGATCAGCGAAATACCTCTTGATTATTGCGGTTGAATGCGCTTAAAAGATCTTATTGCTTCTGACTGAATAGCTCACGTCAAATTCACGTCTGCTGCACTGATCGGCACTTTACGTTCAATACGTGTTCATTAGCGCAATAAATACTGAACATATTGAGTTTCTTTCGATGAGCGTAAACAAGGAACACTCGGTAGCGGAATACATTTTATATTTTCACAAAGCTGCGCGAATAACACGACTACGGGCACTTATTGTGCGAAAGAGCCGGCGAAACTTGCGTGATTACGAAAATATTATTAACGCGAAAACCACGGCCCCTCGGAATCATTCACGATCGTTCGAGGTCTTCCGTAAAAAAAAAAATGGCGCCTCGCGTAACTCCATGTTGTAACGCCGATACGTTTCGCGCGTTTCGTGAATATTCAGCAATTTTAAATATTCAACGTCGCAAAACAGAGTATTATTCATCCCCCCGCTGCCAACCGTTCTGAGCATACATTTATTTTTGCCACTCAGCTGCCACTACAATCAGTCATCTTGATTTACGACTTCAGAAACGAAGGAATTATTCTCTGGAATCCTCCCTCTCTTTCCGCACTTTCCAAGCATCGCAAAGAAACCTTCGTAACTCAATCGCGTTCGTAACGTTTTCTGCTTTCGCGTGATTCCCGATCACTAATTAATCTCGAAAATCACGCACGGTGTTCGATGCAACGCGAAACCCGCAGCGCGAAATATGCAACGCTTAAAAATAATATTTGCGTACTTCATCCTCTTCGTAGGATGAATTTACACGAAAAAAACGGAAAAATGCATACAGCAGCGAGAGATGTTTATCGGAATCGCACGTTTTCTTCTTATTGGGAGGAAATTTTTAATTAAACTAGACACTATAAATATATTATTATTCATTCTTAAATATATTTAAATTCTGTATGTTTCAAAACTATCGGGACATTAATTATTCAAGGTTTTACGAAGCAATACAGAACTATTCTTATTATTCTATTCGTCGGAAATGGATGTGATTTCTTCCATTATATATGCACTAGGTAAAATTACTGCATTTGCGCCAATTCTGCCCTGATAGAAGCGTCCGTTGATTAGAAGGCACGTCTCTCTTATTTTCCTCTCGATCGCTTCGAGAAAAGCTCGTGCAAATCTTATCCAAGACCTTACATCTTGTCAAATCAAAATCGCGTTAAATCAACGTTACACTGTCGCAGAGCAATACAAATTAGATTCGCTCGCTGACAACACTAGCTGCTGACTATGTCGCCTTTACGACGATGCGTTTGCAACATCGTGACCATTACGAGAGTTAACTCGGATATAAGACGGCAGGATATGAGGTAGAGTGTTTTTTCCGCTTCAATGACTTCTCAAAAGGACGATGAATATGAATATAAACGAACTGAGTTTTTCGGAGTAAATTTCACGATATGATTTATTAGAGAGAGAGAGAGAGAGAGAAAGAAATTCCAAATATAAATATTGTAACGAGCGATAAATACGAGTAGATTCATCCGATTTACTACGATTTACGTCTGTGAGAAATTAGATTTCTTGATACGTCAGGTTTTCTGGAAATCATGCTGTAACTGAAGAAATCAACTGCTATAACAATATAATTTATACAGCAAAATTTAACTCAAGACTCTTTTCAGAGATTTGAAGTTGTCAGATTTCGAATAATATTCAAAGCGATTCGTATCGTTCATAATTATTAAGCAGCTCGCCAATTTTCAATACGGATATTGGAAGGTCCGACAATAATCATCGGTCATTAGCAAAACCAGCGATCTCGTCCTCTTTTCAACTAACTAGTGCGATACCGGCATGACGTGGGGATTAATTAGGAGCGAGCGGATACATACTTGCGTCTACACGCAGAAGCCAACAGGAATTTTCCATTTACGACCCACCATGAACACCATGACATACAATGTTAAAATACCTATCCACGCGCGTACCGACCGAAGTGAGCCAAAATCCGTCGCGTATGCTCGAATCAATTAACATATTGAGTGCTCGCGCTAATGGGAGAGCACGGGGATACACGCGAGAGCGTATGGTGCGACCGTTTCGCCGCAATCAGAGTTTAATTACATGTAAAGTAATTTGCCAATCACACCGCGACCCGCCCCTTCGTTCGACCCGCTCGCGCAATTCGCGATATGTCGCGGAATCGATGCAGGATAGTTCGGAATTACTGTTTTTTCGGTTTCCGTTTGTGTCGCGGCCTGATTAACGCAATGAATTAATCGCGACAACAATAATAAACGATCGTTAAGTAATTACTAGCAGCACTACGTTGCGCTAGTGCACTATTGCGTTATTGCTGCGATCAATTCGTTGCTGACGGTATTGTGACGTCGAATGTATCATCGCCGACGATTATAGTACAGCACAATAACGATCCTGACAATGAGTTACTGTGTTACCGTTTTACACATCGGTTTTACACATATCCTTGCTATTCTATTGTTAGGCTACTATGAGCAAGATTATTATAAACAATCGCCTCAATTGTCGGCTATATTTCCTCGTTCACGCTCGCTCGTTCTCGTATCGGCGTGGAAATTCGAACCGAGATGTGGAATTTTCCGCTTCCCGCGGCTGCATTAATCGACGCGACATTAATTTCGCGCGGCGAACGACGCTCCGGTATATCGAACGCGCCCGAATTAATTAGCGGCCTTTATAATCACGGTGATGCGGCGTCGCCGTCGTAATCTCGCGAAAACACAATCTAATTGCGAACCTCGTTCGTCGCGGCGGTGATTCGACATTTGCTCCGGTATCGTGCGTGAGGTGACGACGAGGAAAAATAGAGCGGCGATATATAAAATATCGCCTTTCCTTCAGCCGGGAAAACAAATGTTTCTGTCGTTTTTAAACAGTCGTAATATCTTACGTTGAATATGATACGAGGATAATTTTGAAAGTCCGATTCATTGAAAAAATATACGCACTGTTGAAAAATTACAATAATAACGGCTTGGATAATTCTAGACGTCCAAAATGAGCGTTTCATTACAATATCATTTCTTCATTCTCACATGTGGTCTATTTCATGCTTTTATGTACGGCTCGCCTAACGAGATATATGTGTGATATATAAAAAGGGATTATAATTATATAAATAAGAATTATATACGGAGTATATAATTATATCGACGACGAGAGTATGTTATATTATATCGAATATATTATTATCGACGACATTTCTTGACGCATGTTATTGCACCCACAGTCCTCCTTACATTTACATGCGTGATTCATCGGGACGTACGTACGCACGAAAGGGCAAAGCTATATCGGTATTATTGCATTTGCATGTGAATGCAATGCGCCTTCCTATCGCCCGGAGAATAATTCACGGTGAATATCCATTCAATACCGACACTTGCAGCGACTATGTTCCCGCGATCATTACCCCGTCAGGCGCCTTCTCATCGACGTCACGACGGAAACGTCATAACTGCGCATATTTATTGCTCCGACAAAATTCATGTGTCGTAAACTGTGGCTCAGTTTACGAAAGTTGCTGCCGCCGCGTCGCCATAGTCGAAACTAAAAAAAGTCACGGGCGAGCGACTGGACGCGAATATTCACGGAGTTTAGGCGCACTGACCCATAATTTATACATTAATACAATACCATAATAACTTAATATTAGGTCATAATTCACGCAATAATAACGTATTGTTAAATCAAATCTGCGGTGTTGAAGCGACGTCGATCACGCTGGTAATTACGATAGTTAATACGGTATTAATACAGCTTTAGTGTTTATCCCATTATAATATTATGGCGATAAAAGTGAATATTGTATCTTCACCAGAGTAATCGTTTGTAACACGCATATCGAAAGGTCAACGGTAATCGCGTCCACTATGGCAGAAGTATTCGAGGACAAACTTGTTTCCGACACACGTCGTTCGCATTCAATCGGGATTAGATTTGCGCGACCGTATGCACACAGATGCTCGCGCGCGCGGATTCCACGTGTGCCACTACACATCCGAATTGTGAATGTCGGAGATTCATGAAATAGCGGAAAGTCCAAAATCGCATACCGGCAGTCCATAATCGGGATTACCGCTGCCGAGTTCCATCTGTGCGCCCGACCAGCAGCCAGTCGGTCCAATTAGTCGAGGGCCGGCGTTGAATCCGGAAATTACAATGCACTGTCGATGACAGCTGCAAAAAGGAGCAACGGAGCCGGGACTTTCTGCAGAAAACGTTCCGAACAGCATCGCGAGAAATATCATCGAAAGTTCGCGACGTGTCGATATCGGCTATTTATATTTACCACTTGATGAAAGAGAGTAGACTGTTAATAAATAACTCGACACACATTACCGTAACTAATCATAAATGTACGATTCTTACTTCTTAATAAGACAACATACGATCGTTTCTGTTACAGAACTTGAAGAACCAAATCATGACGACGAATCTGTGGGTCGAACAGGTGAGCGATAAATAATTTACTTCTAAATTATCTGTCCTTTCTTTTTCTTTTTTCTACATCTTCCCCGAGATTCTTCACAAGCGTATAACTTGCCGCGAGATAAAAATTTTAAACTTTAAACATAATTCAACGGAGACTTAGCGGAGAGTGAGGAGGAGGGGCAATTTAAATTGTGAGCTGTGTGTGGAATAATAACAACGTTAATATCGTTAACATAAGTTGTGAAATATTTGAAAAAAGAAGGGAAGAGAGATCGTTCTCTGTTTGAGGCGCGTGGTGACACGCAAAGTTCAACGGAAAGAATCGGAAGCAATTCGTTGCGGCACGTAATTGGACCGTTACGAACCTTAGAAGGGAGGAAATTAATGGCTCAACCGAGATGTTCGCCTTCGCGGGAAACGACGGCTGTTTTGCTACTTCGCGTTACTCAGGCGGTGCAGTAACTGCAAATTACTTATATTACGCCGGTACGTCTGCGTGACGTTGCGGCTCTTTACCGGAGAATGCTCGGAAGAACGAGACGGGGTGGGAAGCGAATCGAGGCTAGACGATGAGGGAACCAGACAACGAGCGTATCAGCGAGCGTAATTGAAGAATAATTAAGGCGTCGATTAACGCATAACAATTACGTCTCTCTGCGATGATGCAACGCGAGTAAGCCCATTCTCGTTAACGGATTTCAAAGATGTTGAGACGGTAATAAAGGATGTTTCCGAGAGCATCTAAAGCGCATTAGTAAAACATCACTCAATTTACTACGCTTTGTCTCTAGCGTTTATATTAATCGATGTGTTTATGCGACATTATCGGACTAAATTGCACGTCGTTGTCAAGCATTTAGAATACTTGGAAATTCAATCGTTAATTTATCGATAGAAACCGTTTCCCTTCTTTCGACGGCAAGGGGGGATTCACTCTACAAATTAATTTATTTACTTTGAGTTTAGTCAAATATTTTAGTACTCGAGAAACACACAATCGAGTTCCCATCATTGCATATCTTTCGTGGCAACGTCGAGCTCCTTCTCGAAGCTCTTCCTCGCTACGAAATTCACGCAAAATTCACTTCGGTGTAGAGCGTCGCGACGGTGATACTTCGACATCTGATAAAAGGGCGAGAGTACGCCGTACCCATCGAGAGCTATTCGTCGCCGAACGATTCATACGTCGAGGCGATTCATATGGCTCGCGCGGATCGTCTCTCGGTCGGGGATGCGGCTCGTCGTGCGAGTTGCATTTCTGTTTGCGCGCGTGTTGTACGTGTACTACGTGGCGAAGCATTCCCGGCGCGTCTCGCAGCGACGCGCCATCCTTCAACGTCGAAACCACCCTCTCTCTACCCTCGCGACCGACCACATCCTACCGCCCTCGACTACTGTTAGTGTTACCCTGCCGCACCCTTGCAGCCTCGTCTCATCCTCTCCCCCATTCCTTCTCAGGACCGTCTTCACCGGGTCCCTGTTACGTCGCCTGTCGCTTTCGATTCATCGAATACAGTGATAGCGAGCTTTTATCATCTAAGATTTTATCAATCGTATATTCGTACACACGGCACTTTCCGCAGCCTCGTTCCTGCGCGTTAGCAATTTAAATACACGCTTTACTCCTCCAACGGTTCAGATAATATATTCTCCCTAACGAGGGTTCGCGAAATCGAGTCGGAAGGTCTGACTGTAACGATATGTAATTTTCTTTGCATATTGTGATATTATTATAATACATATATGATTAAGGTACAACCGAAACGCTCTACCGGTAACGTTGATGCTGTCAATACGGAAGTGTCACGAGAAACGATATTGACCTGGATTGACAATCGTCCCTGGTCTCATGATGCTCTGGTATAGACATGCAACTACGTAACCAACCGATTCCCTTCCAATGCAATATGCTGCACGCGTGACACGCAGTAACGAGACTCCGGCTACACGATGCTCTTGCGTTGCGCAAGAAATAGTTTTTTTTTTTTTTTTCGTTTAATATCAACATGCTAGCGTCTCTCTCGTCGTATATATCCTTATCATATTCCTCGTAGTTCACGATTTAATTTCTTTCAGATTTTATTCCTTCGAATAAATATTGGAAAAATACAAGCGGAAAAGAGATACGAGATTTCTCGCATATGCGCAAATAATACACGGGTTGTGTGGAATTTGGGCGATTGAAAGTTACGAGTGATTTATCGAACATTAAATTGCTTCGCGGACGAATAAATGCGTAATTATGAAGGAACGAGCCATTTACTCGCGCAAAATGTGACCATTTTAGCCGTTATATGTGGAATATTCCAAAATTATGATCATTGATGTTTGTTTACGAACTCTTCCGCCAATTTTATCCTTGCTTCGAAAATCAACGGAATATTTTTTCTCTCTGGACAATAGCGTTTAATTAACGGACGATTAAAGGGGCATTTTCATATTAAAATCCGTTACTAACGACACGTCTGTATAGACCGTAGATCATAGACTATACTCGGCTGTAACACGGATTTTTAGATATATGTTTCACGCGAATACATGGTACTGCCACGAGACTTTTCCTTAGTTTTTACGGCAGACTGTATTTGCGGAAGCTCGCAATAAAAAGTTTATTTCCGCCCTCGGTATTCTCTGCTTGCGCATCCTCGCTCCCTTTCGCGTTTATTTCGCCGTCTACGCGATGATAAGGTTTCGTATGTGATAAGTTCGCCGTCGTGTACGAAAATGTCTATGAATACATAGGGAAGCTGATTATATCGCTAAACATTCCCCTAAGTAGGCTAGTGCGACGCGAGTAAAAAGGGGAACAGATGCAAACGTAGTACTTAGGATAAAAACGATGATTTTGCTTCTCCTCATCTACTTTTACGATATGCGTCACACGTTTTCTTCACTTCGTCTTATATACTCTACTTCGGAAAGATAACAGTGACAATAGTAGGGCACGAATATTGACTGTGCCACGAGATATCAAAATATCCAAAGACATCCCCGTCACGTAACATTTCCCGATATATCAAATGTAAAGTTTCTTACGTAATACGGAAGCGCATGCCAGTATCCCGCGCGATTTACTCCGACGAAATAGCGAAATACCTACGGGAGAGCTTTTCCCTTGTACGTGCAGAGTTGCCGGTTTAATTTCGCCACAAAATCGACCCCGTACATATCGACGAGCCCGCGAGCGAAATTACTTCTCCTTGCTCGAGCACGAAAACGAATTAAACTACGCAGCGAAGTACGTCGCCAGCTGGCCCTGCAAACTTCCTTAATTGTGCGGGTAATGTGAGATTACGATTAGAAAAGAAAAGAAACGAAAATGAAGGAATAGAGACGAAAAAGATATCGTGGAACAGATGACATAAACATAGCCTCGGTACGAAGCGACGCGGCAGCTGAACGATTAATCGATTTTAATGGCAGCACCGGAGGCATTATTCGCAAATTGCACGCGCGCGAGCATCGATCCGTTCGCGGAAATTGCGGTGTAATTTTTAGGATCCAATATTTTTACATCGCCACTCTCATGAATAATTGAGCGATGTAAAGTATCTAACTAATAGCCTGTACGAGCTTACGATTAGTCAAAGTCGGCGGGAGATCTCGTTGTTTCGGTTGTGTCGTCGTGTAAATGCGCGCATACTGTGGAAAATGATCGGTCGATACATCGGGTAATTACACGAATAAATTTGCGTCGAATTCACGCTGGCGAGATAATAATTTCATTCTTTCTCGCGAAAATCCATTGAAATATATTCGCTCAAAACTGCTAACTTTCGGTTTCATCGGTATTGTTCTTCCTTCAGCGTGTATTTTATTAATAACGCACACCTGGCTCCCCGCGGAGATCGTTCTATTATTTTATTTTCACCTCGGTGTTTCATAAATTCGAATTCTACGAAAGAAAGAGAGAGGATATTCAAGCTCCTTTCCCTATATCTGCCGTCGACAGGTGGTGGAAGCGATATCTCGAATGAGATTTCAGGGCGCGGGCTTACCCGTAACGCGGAGCTGCGTTCTTTTGAACGGCTCGGGCGGCAGTCAATACGTCGAGAATAAATTGATAGGCAACGGCACTAACATCGACAAGCCTGTTATCCGCAAACACCTCGCTCGCATTTCGCCCCACCTCACCCTTTCTCTCTCTCTCTGCTTTTTATCTCGCAGCTCGCGTATCACTTACACGCTTATCAGACTCCATTTACGATCAGCCCTTATCTATCTTTGCCCTATCTTTGTCCTCCACCTCCACGTTATTCTTCTTCGTCTTTCTTACCCAGAAGCTTTGAACAACGTTCCCTTTTTCCTCATGCCCTTCACAATTTTCAACTTTCAATGGCCTCTCCTTATCTTCCTTCTTGTTTGCTTTTGATATCATATTTCAGGTCCAACTTAAGTTCATCTATCTTCCGTTGCCTTTCGTTTTTCCTTCTCTTCGCACCACACTTACACTTCTGTTCTCCTTTAGACTCACTTTTTGACTTTCCGTTGTCGATTGATTACGACAAGTCAGTTTTCATTTTTTTTTCAGACGGTTATAATATTTCCGAAGAGAGAATTATCACGCAGTTTCCCGTCCGAAACGTATTATTTTTCTTGCGCATCTCGGGGAAAATACTGTAGATCACACGATTGTCACGACGCTATTTCAACACCGACAACGTCATGTCGTGTAAACCTGCAAAAGTTTGCGATCCTTTCATCCCGCGCGAATCCCGAGGAAACGTCGAAGCTGGCTTCCGCGTTTTCTTGGCGAGAGCAACGCTTCCGTCGCATTCGCAGGCGGACACGTTCGCATCCGATCATCCCGCGCCAAAACGGTTATCGTCGTCTGCTACGAAGTCGACTTTTACGATAGTCCGCCTCCGTTTTCAGCGTGGAACGTTGACTCTTAGCACACCGTCGATCGTGGTGCTAAATAAACCAAGACTCGTCGTCGCGAGTCACAAGGGAGAACTAGTCTAGTCTCGGCTCCGCTCAAAACCTTGCTTCACGCTCGCCGTTCAAACTTCGTACAGT